ATCCGACCTCCACCTACTTTGTTTCTAAAATGTAATAATAATTTTTTTTGATATTTAAATTAAAACAATTTTGTTTATACAATATTTATTATATTAGTATTGTTGTAGGTCAACAACCGTGCAGGCAATAACAATTTACTTTTGACTCAATTCACATAATGTATGCAAGTTTTTATATTGGTTTTTAGTTTTTATTTAAAAACGCTTTGCTCAGATTTCATTGTTTAAATATAAAACGAAAATCAAATATTATTATTAACTTGTTGTTTTTATTTTAAACAATTTAAGACAAAACACTTATCTGCGCTTGTATTTCCATTTTTTATTTAAATTAACAATGTTTTTTGTGTTAAAATTAAATGTTTATATATCATATTGAATATCTTGATCAAATTATTATTATGATAACCTTTAATAAAATTATCTCCAAAGGTATCAAATTTCAAGTGTTTAAATTTTAAAATATAATATAAAACAGTATATTTATAATATAAATATGTAAATCATACATTATAATTTACTGTGTTACGGTTACATTTTTTCAGTTTTTTTTTGTTTACATTTATATTTTAAGGATATTGTATTTATAATGTAAAATTTAATACACAACTAAGGTAGTAATATAAATGGACTTGGGCATACTCATAAAACAAATTAAATTAAAAAATATTGTATATTTTGTAATAATTATTTACTAAAAAAAAAAAAAACGATTATCAATTACGGTTAGGTTTGTTTTTTACTACCTGAATTTTGTTAGATTTGATTTAATAAATTATTTAAGATGCGTATAATTACAACCAGTAATTATATACATCAAATTTATCATTATACTTTTGCTACAAAATATTTGTTGTATCCTTTTATACCAATTTTTTTTTAATTGTTTACAGGCAATAAAATATATTATAATATACGATTGTACTTATTTATTGATTACCTCTGCATTAGTGATACCAAAAACTTGTGTCGAAAAACTGAGTATTAAACACAATACTAGAACTTGCTTTAAATCCATTTTAAAAATGTTCTCAACCAAATTGTAACACTTAATGAATTAATACGCTATTTGATAGGCCATTTTATAGTGAATTTTTTTAAGATTAATCCTTTTTTATGCATTATTGAATAAATATTAAATATGTACCAAGACGAACAAGTAGACAAATGTCTTTCACTGTTCCGCAATGAAAAATTTATTGACCTAGGTATTGATTTATTTCTTCTATTTATTCGGTTCATGTTGTTTCGTACCTACTTACATTACATAATATTTGTACAATAAGAATAATAAATATTATGTTGAATTTAAATTTATAATATACACTTTTATCGAAAATAAAAACAAATTAATCACAAACGCCTGTAGGAGTTACCTATCATTTTAACATTCAAATTATTCAACCAAATTTATTGTGACTTTGGGTAATCATAATAAAAAAAAACAAAAAACTGATTCTAAAAACTCGAATGGACTATAAAATCGTCTAATGTCTGTTGCAATGTAAATAAATACAACATATTATATAATATTGTAATCTGTTGATAGTAGTAGACAAGTCATTGTAAACAAGTTGTTATTTCAAAAGTATTTTGTTTTGTCGTTTGTGTATTTAAGTGTCTGGACGATTTATTTTCTTGCACGGAAGAACCCTGAAAACAATAGTTTATTCTCTGAACTGTCCTAATTTAAATATCTATGATTTTTTACTCGATTATAGAGATATAGATAATTAGAGATTGTATAGAAAACATGTGATAATAGTTTGAGACGATAAATGATCTAAAATAATATGTAATTACACCCATTAAGACATGCAGGGTTTAATCAGTAGATATATATTTTCATAGCACATAAGTCTACAATACATGTATACACTGTACTGGCTTTTTTTTTTTCATGCGACACTAAAAAATCACTATATTAAATAATATTGTCCACAAATGATTATAACATTTATAATTATTACTACTTATTAGTATTTGATTGCGTAGAATATGTTTAATAATAATGTTGCCTATTCATTGAGTGGTAAAGAATGAAGATGTATATTATAATAATAGGTTTCCATTTTTCATAATATAGACATAATGAACCCGACTGTCGCATTTGCATAGACATTTTAGATGGGCATCTAGAAGTGGATTTCCTTAATAGTCCAATGTTCCTTAATACACTGTGTGGTATATAATGCTAGTCAACGTCGTTTTCTGAGCACCATATACATTACGATATTAACATTCATAATGCAAAGTCGTTTCTCGTGCATATTTGAGTGGGGAAACTCCTAAACATAAGAAACCGCTAGGTGTATAAGAAATGACCGATATCAATTGCCTTTACAATTTATTACAGTGTTATGAGCAAAAATAACATAATAAAATATCATGGCACAATCCATTATTAAAATTAGTAACAATCTAGAAAAATCGTCAAAAAATAAAAAGCACCCCCACAAATGGGTACTCTGATGGGTCTAATGAAATTCAGTGTAGCTGTTTACACATAGGTAGTTAAACATGTTGCATTCAACAGAAAGCCATATTAAAATCAGACCTGTTCCCCACGGCTACTACTCCATTATCCAATTTTTATTTTTAACGGACAAAAATATTAAATTTTAAATATTGATTTACCTCTTCTTCGGTGACTTCTAGACTGACTTTCTGTGTTTAACAACAAATGATTCAACAAAATACTAAAAAATGTTTCGAATTAATTTTAATTTTTAAAACAATTATTGGTTTAAAAAAAAAAATACATTTATTATACTTTCAACTAAAATGTAGGTTATTACGCCCCTGACAATAATGTGTACATTTGCAATAACAGTATAATTTATAAATTGAACCAATTGTCTTGAGACAAACAAAACAAAATATGGTCCATCGTTGTTTCGCTTCGAAAGTGCATCGACCAAGTATGTTTGTTTTATGACGTCTAGTACAGCTGACGCAGGCTGTTTAATAATATATAAATATTAAACAAAGGTATAATACACACACAGTTAGCTGGAGGAATAATAATTTACATAGTATTTCTTATATTGTGTACAGAATTCAAATAACTAAAAAAATCCCTTTGTTGATATAATATTTTAGTGGAAATTTTCCCATACAATGCACCTTGACAATTTAATGCTGAGGAGGCTGTAGAGGTTCCTCAATTGGCAAATCGATTTAAATAAATTATAATACTCTTATACGATGATATATGGGTGTACTTGGTATTAGCTGTAGTGTTATTTGTTTCACACGATTGGTATTATTTACAGTTGATGAGTGATCAACACAAAAACCGTAACAACAGCCCATGACCGTCTTATGTCATCACATTGTCGGATCGCCTTTGCCGAATCGACTAGCAAACGCTACTCGGTTTATGTGCTCCTGGTATAAAAGGGGCCCAAATAACGTACTACGGGATAGGGCAAATCCACCGGGCTCGGTCCCGGCTCGAAATAGGGGAAGGTACCCTTAACAGGGCGGCCTGGGTGACGCTCAGGATACCAGGAGCGCATAAAGCCGTGCCACGCAGTTTTCACCATTTTCCTTTAGCCGGTTTTATACAGTTTATTTAGGCGAACAAAATATGATGATGGCAAAATATATCAACAATAAAAAATGGTTTTTCATTCATAGAGGAAATTGGTCGAAATTAAAAATAATATCTCGAAGCTTGTACAAAAAGTAACGGGTAAACGAACTGGCATTAAATTAAAAAAAAAACACCCTTTTTTCTTAAATATTGCCTATACAAAACTCCTTAAAAAACAGACCGCATGCAGTGCGCATTGTGTAGGCAAATTTTCATTAAAAATTAACATTAAGCTAAACACTTTAAATATATATATATATATATATATATTACCATATGAAAAAAGTGTCTATTTCGATGTTCAATTTGGCATCGACTGTGACACAATTTTAATTTATTAATTAATTTCAATGTAAAAAAAAACTGCAATTTTTTTTAAACTAAAAAAATTAATTAGCAAAAAGTAATTTTCAAATTATGTCACGATCGATGCCTTAAAAATGTTGTGTAGAATTCAAACATTTTATTTCAAAACTTTAATCTGAGTAGGTGTTCTTAGGAACAGAACGTTTGGAGTCGTTTTCCACCAAAACGGCACAGGTGCAGTTAGTATCGAAATTATGGGGATGGAGGGATATGTTTTAATGATGTACAACTGTAAAGTTCTCTAGTGAATGACTGTTAAAGTTCTGAAACTCTTCGCTGCACTGCTACATGCCAAAGTGATTGGAATAAAGCCAAATCATCGTTCATCGTTTTCAGATATCTGCGTGGCTAAATAAAAAAAATGATAAAATTGACAATTTTTACACATAAGACTTTTATTCAAATTCAAATCATTATACCGCATGAGTATGAAATCCGATCTACTTGTATATGATATTAAAGCTAAGACAAATATCTCTTTATACCACTATTAGTGTGTAGCATTTTGTTTTTTTCCTATACACAATAAGGTGATTAAGTTATCGACATACATTTTATTTTTTTTTCATTTTAATTACCATAGTTACTTGATTTTTCAACAATAGTTATTCGGAGAAGTTCTTCGTTTTTATTTTTCACATAACAGATATAATAGTTCACCCCTGTCCAATTGAAATCAAGAAGAACACCCAACAAAATTTTATGTACACATTATTTGGCTTGATGTTACGGTACAGGACTTATTAAAAATAGGTTAAAATTACTTAAATTACTAATTTCTAATAAAAACAGGAAAATATTATAAGCCCTTTCTCCTAGAGAGTTGGAAACTTTTTTACTTTGCTTTTTTAGATGTACAACCTGTTTTGGTAAAACCTTAAGGCTTAAGATTAAAAACAAATAGACTAAGTAAATTATTTAAAGTCTAAAAGGTACTATACATCTTAAATTACATTTTACGTTGGAGAATTACTGATTGTTACAAAAAATTAAATCATTTAAATAAAATATTTTATTTTTAATTAAATAACACGTGTTTAGGTCAATATATTATGTAGAACTATGAAAAAGTAGTACTATTATACTTGACGGCACTACTTTTTCATTATATAATAAAAATATCCCTAGTGATGTCCAGTATTACCTGTCTAATGGCAATTACTGGTTTACTATAATGGTTGTACAGTGTGTTTGTCCTAAAATTTTGGGTCCCAATTATTCAAAAGTTAATTTAGTTTTTTTGTCTAACACATCTAATTAGCTTTCCAAAATTGCAACTTACAAATCAAAAAGAAATTTTCAATTTTCTTTTGTATTTAAAAAAAAAAATTACAAATTCTACAATAATTTTGTATCAAGGAAAACAGCCGTCCGAGTTACATTTAAATCAAATTATTCAAACACATAAAACGCACCGAAAAGATCACAAAACGGGTGTTTTCTTACATAATATCATATCTTAAACAATAAGAAATTGTTGAAACGTGTAGTACAAGAAACTAGTAGCAAAAACAAATTCTCAATGAAAGCATAATGATTACAGGCTGGAAGTTAGATTTATTAGAAACGGATCGGTAAAATTAAGATTACAATAATTATGTTATAGTATAAAATGTAATCACTTATATTAAACATACTCTTGATCGGCGATCGATAATGTTACCGAATAAAAAAAACATGAGATTATTTTGTTGTGCCAAATGAATTCCGGGTAAGACTTATTGTACTTATATAGGTTTAAAATAAAATTCCCATGCAACATAATATTATACAATATGAGTAAAATATATTAAGCTTAATCGAATCGGCGACTTTGTCATTTTTTCGTTGTCAAAGCTTCACCAAATTTGCAGATCTTGCCAATCGTTTGGGTGTTGAATCGTCTTATCACAACGCCGTAACTGATACAAAAAAAAAACAAGAGACTGTTAAACAAAAGTATTAACACATCAAGGCTTTAGGACTAGAAGGAAAACCTACAAAAAATTAAATTACCCTAATATAATATAACGGTTACTTCTTACTTATTCGAGTCTGCTAAACACGATTGGTCATGGCATTTATTTCTTGTTTGGAACACCTGAAATTATTAGACAAATTAATTAATAGCTAATACAAACGGAAGTATTATTGTTTCAGAAAATTACTATATAAGTTTATCAAAGCGTCTCTCCTATTGCGGTTAAACATTTGATAACGGCCATGTCAGCACAGACATACCCGACCAAAATTAAGAAGTAACATGGAAATAATAAAGTATAAGTATAATCAATAATTATTTGTTTGAATATAACTTGTTTTAAATTAAGTAAAGAATATTTGTTAAAATTAAAATGCACAACCTTTTGCTATTAAAATAATCATGTGTTTAAAAAATTATACTGAAAGTATTTCAAAACAAAGATTTGAAATTTTTTAAAGCATTTAACCAATGTTGTGTTTTAATAAAATTATAATACAGATAATTTTTTTTTAATTTAACAGTTTTTTTAAGTTTAAATAGGAACGACTTAAACTTTCAGTCTTCTTTTATACATTTTATAAGGAGCAAAATTGTTACTTTTCAGAAAAAGTAATTATTTCTTCAAGTTTAGAAAATGTATAAAATACCAACCTTAAAGTAGAGGCATCGTTCAACATCAACATTGTCGCAACGGCTTGGAATATTTAATCGTTTGAGAAAAGTAGATTATTTGTTTGTTGTGAAAAACATCAATGTGCAGAATATCTTTTTGTACAACAATTACTAACCCAATGTTATACAAGAACGTATCAAACTCTGAAGACAAAACAAAATTATAATTACTGTCATTGAAAAATAGTTGAAAAATAACAGCTATGCACACACATTATCGTTAAACTGGACACTTGAGAACGAGCCTTGCTATTTTTTCCCAAAGTATATATCTCAATGGAACTCTAGAAAATTAAAAAAAAGTTATTTCTAAATTATTTTTCATAATATACGATTATAACTGTATGACTGCCGTTGAGAGCAAAAGTGGTATAAGTCAAGAAAGTTCAAAGTTGAGAAACAAAATAGTTGAAATTGTGTACAACAACAGTTTACCAATGAAATTTGTCGTTTTATTGGTCTACTCTACTAAATGTAGATGTATCTACAACATTATTTTCACAGGTGCCATTTTATGTGCTGTTCAAATGACTTGAACCGTTTTTGCAGTTGACGTTTTTCAAGGACCAGTTGAAACTAATGACTTACACCAAATATACACTGACCTTCGTCTCGGAAGAATGTCAGTTTTGAGTGAAAAATAGATTTTAAAAAGAAATTTATCATTATGAGCCTATTTTACTAAATAAGGTACAAAATAGAAGGTATCGGATTGAAAATAGAATAAATTATCGTCCGGTGGTGTTACTTCAAATTGGGTGAAAACAAGACTTACACCACTTTTGCTCTCGACGGCTCATACGGTATATTTTCTAAAAGTAGAATTTTTAATCATATTAAATAATTTGCCTTTTCCCAGTAGGCAAGTTCCAGTTCTGTTGTTGCGCTTCATTGTTTAGTTTGGATGTTTAGACTGTCATAACTAGTACTATCTACTTTAACCGCCGCTGTCCATCTGAAACATAATTCAACAACGTTTTATTCCCAGTATAACATTCTTTGTGTAGCAAGTGGTTTACTGCTTCACAAATAATTTAAATATTCTATAACAAAATAATATTTTATGAGTTTTTTTTTTAATACAAATTTAGACCGAACATTTAGAAAAAAAAAAAAAATGTTCTAAGTGAAGTGCTTTATATAATTTATACTTGAAAAACATAAAAAATAAGAAGGCATTACTTTTATAAATATTTCTAATTAGACATCCAAATAGATTATATTTAGTAATAAAGAAAAAGTATGTTTTCAAATCGAACAATAAGCATTACATAGTAAATTAACAATATGCAAGTATATAAATGATAACTGATCAACAAAACCCAGGCAAATTTTTTTTAAATAATAATAAATAATTATTTGAAAAAAAAAATAAATTATTTGAAATACATCTTTATTTATTGTTCCAAATAGTATTTTATTTAAATAAAAACATTTTCGATTTTATAAGTTAAACTTTTAATTACATTATTGTTATTTTTACCTAAATTAAAAAATATTTAGTGTTGAAATTAAGATTTCATTTAAATGTTCCTTAAGTATTTTTGTAGTTGTTATTTTAAGTGAGTTAATTGAGCAGACAAGATTAATAAATGACTTTTTATTATATTTGTCAGTTTAAAATTTTTTAAAAAAATGCTATGCTCTGAAATATTTAATCTATGGTGATGGGATTACACTTCCAGTTTCGAACATAAAATAAAATTGTCATTCACTAGTTTATAAAGATAATTGTTTTATTTTATTGTAATTCTTTTAAAACGTTTCATATTAATGGGACACTTTTTCAACATTTAGCAATTTCAACCAAATGCGATTGTTATTTCTCTTCTATTTGTAATTGTGTATTTCATACATAACCGGAAAAAATTTGGTTAAGTTTTCCAAACGGCCATTCATAAAAAAACAACTACATTTTTCACTTTTTCTAAGCGAGAACTTTTATTGTATTTGTCGCTGAGAAATATACTAAATTGTTTCCGTTAATACATAAAAAAAAAAAATGTTTGTCCTTTGGAATATTTGATAAAATTTGCTCTTCATTTCATATACATCAAAACATAAAATGTCAGAGTCAAGTGATAATCAATAAATAAAAACTATTAAGGTTCAAATATAATTTTTTCCGAAAGCGGATAATGGAATTTTAAACAATTCATCCAATTAAAACGACATTTTTTGAATAAAACATATTTTGTTTGGCTTAATAAACTTAGATGTTTTTTTGTTAACATGTTTGGACTTATGTTGGGGCGTACTATGTATAATGTAGTTAAAATTTAATTTAAATGATAAGCTAAAGTAAAAATTGAATACAATTTTAAAAAACTTCTCGATTGAGTTTCTTGAAAAATGTCTTACCGATTAAGGTGCAGCACAAATCGCAGGCATACGTTAAACAAAATCATATTTTGAACGTCAAACGGCTTCAATATCCACTTTTATGAGAAGTTGTTCTGTAAAAAAAATAGATGGTTATAATATTACATTAACCAAAGCGATAATGTTTATTAATTATTGTAAACAAATAACAACTAACTCGTATTGAAGAAAATTGATATAAGTGAGTCAATATTAAATTCAAGTAATTATTTCAGAATGGCATTCGCATTAGGATTTAATCGAAAGGCCATTTTGACATTGTAAAAGTAAAAAACGGATGCTTCGACATGTGACGAGAGTTTCTTTTTGCAAATATTGAGTTATTTAATAAAAACATTTTCATTAAGCGCAGTAAATAATTTTTTTATTAGAAAACATTTTAGCATACTCTTTTAAGTATAATAGGTACATTTGTTATATTAATTTGGCTATTTTTTTTTTTTTTTTAAGTAACTCGATAATATTTATCCATATAGTTTTTTAATTATAATATAAAAATATTTATTCGATATATTTTTGTACATTTGAACTTTTATGTGAATTAGTTAAAAGGAGTTTATAAGATAAATTATAATATTTGTTTATATAATAATGATATATTTATTATCAATAAAAAAATTAAAAGACATTTGCCCATGAACAAAACACAATAAAATATAAATTTAAATTAGAATTGCGCATTTTATTAAACTCAGATCCGTTTTAATTATTTTTCAGTTTTTAGTTTTTATCTAAACAAATAAAAGGAAATTGATTATGACAAGTTTGTTATTTTAGTTTGTTCAAACAAAAATTAAAATCCGTTTTTTATTGTTTATTAAGAATTTTTAATAATTCTTATTATAATTTTAATAACTGTTTTTTTTTTTTATAATGCTCAGATTTGACTAGATTAGAATACAAATTATGCTAAATGGAAGGTTTTAAAAACAGTTGTCAGAAGGGCCGTGTTGTACGTTTTCGAATGTTGACCGTGGACTAGAAATTAGGTTGGAAAATAAGTTTTAGAAGGCTAAAAGAGCGACAGTTGAACTATATGAGAATGGTCAATGTGTGCGAGGAAGACATGAACAGCTGCTTTTAAATGTATTATAAATTTACTTATTAAGGTCAGCATTGTCAAGAACGGCAGAGACTCTTGGAGAGCAATGTTGCGCCATATGCTGTTGCTGTCATAGTATCCGATGCATCTCTATTTATTCGCATACATTTGTCTTGGAGACCGTATCGCACCTCGTTAAGCCGCACAGACCTATAAGGTTTACAAGTTTTTTTAGAATACTTAAACATAATCAAACAATTATTAATCAATTAAAGATTATCTACAAAGGTAGATAAATAAAAAATACCAATCATTGCCTTAAACTTACGTTTGCATAGCACACATATTGTTTATCAAGTCCAATAAAAAAAATCAAGACTTCTCCAATCATTTATTTATTATACAACTAAAAAAAAAATTTTAATGCGTTATATTGAATATTTTACAAGTTTAACATAGTAAGTGTACACATACTTACTGAAATTATCAGAATCTCCACATTCTACTTGATTTCGTAACAATCTCTAATTTGTTCTAATTGCTGCTGTTGGGTTGAGCAAACCGTGAAACTACACAGATCAGATTTGTGCCGTCGACCCAGTGGAATTTTTGCCGTTCTCTATGCGACGAATGTTGGCCGAGGAGAAACAACTAAAATTTGATTGACAGTAATTATCTAGCAGGATTTTTTTACTATCATATAGAAATCATACTGCTGTATATATATATATATTTTTTTTTTTTATTGAAAGTGTTTGTTTACTTACAAATACAGTTGAAATTGTTACTTTGTGTTTGTATTCATAATTTATATCCCGTTGCAAGCCATACGAGAAAATGCCAAGTTCCATCTGTGTATAATTAGTTCCAAAAGATGAAATTTAAGAAAACTGTCTTTTTTTAAGAAATATATTTACTAATCTTAAATACAATTTAAATTTAAAAAAAATATTTTAAATCAATATTTTGTTTGATAACGAAATGGACCCTACACAAAATAACCAGAAGGGAAACCTAGGCCGTGTTTGATAAGTGTCCGACATTTTGTTTTTGTTTCCGGCAGCGGAAACAATGAATGGCAGTCGGCCATTTTCGGCGGCTTATAAGAACACATGTAGTTTTTTTGAAGTTTCCCTTCTGGTTATTCTGTGGTCAGAATTTTTTTTTCTTTCAAATAGTTGATCACAGAATAGAAAAATGTAGTTATTTAATCTTTGACAAAAAAAATAACCTAATAACACCCAATGGTCATTTAAAATTTTTCAAACCATCTTATTTAAAACTTTCAAAACTTTTAATAGATATAAATCCTAATATTATTCATCTTAATCATTTGTATACAGAGATATAGTGTTATAGTGGTAACATGGTAATCTAATAATTGGAGTTTGTTGAATGACTAAATAAAATAGTGTAGATTATATTACACTATAATACACAGCTGTTAGTATGATAAGTATAAATTATAAATATTTTAATGTATATGGGTAACATCAAACATGTAACTTTTAACTTTGTAGTTTCTCAAGACCTGAGCGTATAGATTTTTTCATAAAATAAATTATCATGTAAATGGCTATCATTCGTTAATGATATTTTTTTAACTAGAAAAAAACCGAAGCAAATCTTGGAATTAGTAATAAAATAATTAAAAATAATTATTAGGTTATTTATTTAAATCCCAATTCAACTAATTTTTTAATATATAATATTGAATTTTGTAAATCAGTGAAAAACGGTGTACTATTATTTGATTATTTGAAAAAATTGGCTTTAAAATAATGATAATTATGATTTGTAATAAATATGTATAATAAAAAAATTATAAAGACTAAAAAAAATAAAATCAATTAATACATACATTTGTTATTTTATCGGATTAACAGGTTAAGTTTTAGACGAAGAAAAGTTCACTCAGTTTTTTTTGTACTTTCAAGTTATGAATCAAATGAAAAAATGTCTATGATTTTTTTTTCTTACAGATTTAGTTGTATTTTAGTTAGATATTTAGACATATTATAGGAATGTTGTAAAAATGGATGAAAGGCAAAAAAACCTTATCAACTGTCAACTGCTCTTTTATAGTATTTTATCTTTTACCACGTTTTGTTTCGTTACATTATTTACATTTGTAATTTATTTTCTCTTGTATAGCATTTAGTCAGTAGGTTTAATCAATTGTCAGTTAATAATACAACTATAAAATCCTCTAACGTATGTTTTCGCACCTGACCGATATGATAATGCCGAACGTTGTTCGCAAAAATGACTTTTATTTCGTAATAGTATTTTTGTACATGAAAATGTTATGTATAAAAAAATGCGTCTAAAAAAAATTACATATATATAAAATATTATAAAAAATATGAAAGCTCTTAAAAATAATGAATTTTTTTTTTATGTATTAATAGTATTACATAGTAAAAGTAGCGATATCGTTAATGATAATTACAAATAAAAACAGCTGTTAGTATTACAACAAACTGTTATAAAGTTATCGAAAAAATATTTACAAACTGAAGTATATAAAAATCAAGAAAACATAATATGATTTTGATTGTTCGTCTGTAGAAAAATATTGCAGCGACAGTTACAAAAATTAACTCGTAATAAAAAATATTATACTCGCGTAACAAAATGTGATGGTTTTTTTTAAAAAAGATAATAATAATATATTATATAAAACAGTATAAAACGTAATACGAATAAAATAATATATTTCTATAAGTTAATAAGTCTTGTACTTGATAAAATAATTACGGTCAATAAAAAACGTCATAAATGGCTCGCAACATTAATAATAATACTTCGAACGTATTAATGTAAAATAAAATTAAAATTAAAACATTAACAAAATATGGGACGGTTGTTATATTTCAGTAAATAAAATAGTGGGCGGAAAAATTCCCACTGAATTATATTGTAAAAAAAATTCAATTCAATTCAATTAATATTACATTTTAATATAAAAAAAAATGCTTTACACAAATACATAAAAAACTAATATATTACAAAACAAAAAGCGTATTAAGTCATACTTAGTGATATGCGAATGCGGTGAAATTTTATTAATTGTAGCAATTATAATATAAAAAATATAATAATGTCGAATTGATCGGCGCAGTCCTTTCGTTGTATATTATTATTCGTTAAAAATCGAATAAGTGACAAAAAAAAAATAAAAAATTACATTTAGTACCAAACGTTTTACGATATTACATAAAAAAAAAGGATTATACTTATAATATTATTCTAGGTATTGACGTAGAGTTAGATCGGATCATTTTTATTTACACATATGCTTCGGATTTGCCCCTCACACCCACTATGCCGTTGTTGTTCGGTCCGTTTCTTTTGTTGCGCAACCTGGCCAAAAAATTACGCCAACTGTTCACCGTCTTGCCCGACCAAATCCACACGCTGGACGTCAGTCCCACCACCAGCGAGACCATGTACTTGGCGACAAATATATCGAAATTGGGCCTGTTTGTCCCGTTGAGCGCGGCGTCGTTCTGTTGACTAGGACAAGGAATGGCAAATTTGGGATCGCGGCACACCTGCGAGTGCCACGTGTGCAGCCACGCCTCGCGGTTGACGTGCTCGTAGGCCAAACACAATATCTGAGCGAGAGCCGGCACCGTATAGAGCACGCTGAACACTCCGATGCGTATCATGAGTTTTTCTAGCTTTTCAGTGCCTCGCGTGCCGTCGTGTTTCATCACGGTCCTTATGCGACACAGCGCAACGAACCCGGCCATCCAAAACGCCGTGCCCAGCACCAAGTAGACGACTAACGGTATCAAAATCATGTCTCTCACCGCAGTGTCATCGCTCCATACAGCCATCGAGCAAATCCCGGTCAGCACATCGCCTGTAGCAAAAACGAGCAATACAAAATAATTAGCTGTTTTTGTTAATAAACTTTTAAAGTAAAAAAAAATATATATAGTTTTATTGAAACAAGTAATATTAGTTAAACAGTAGAAATAATTATTTATTTTTAGTGTGATTCGTAGATTTTATTATAATACATTATTAATTTTACTAAAAACAAATGATTTCAATGCTTTTTATCAGATGGTATGCCTAATAGTAAAAAAAAAATTTTTTTTTAAAAATTCACTTGAATTTCATTAAAAGATACAAGTTAGTTCCTATGAATTATGAACTAATAATAACTATTATTATTACTATAAAACTTCATACTTAACTCTTATATGATACTTAAAAATGGTTTTTAAAATGATTTAAATGATAAATTATACTTAAAAAACCCACTGTATATGTTGTAAAAATAATATAATCCACTAAATTTACCTAAAGATTTTTAAATAATATTGTAATACAAATAAAAACGTTTGATTTGTTTACCAAATATTATTCATAACAATAATAATAAATTATTAATAAATAGATAAATTCTATTATAAATAGAACTACTGAAGAAATTAATATCAGACTATAATTTTTTTATTTTTATTATGTACAATTAGTCTTGACTGTATCTAACATGTTTTAAAATAATTATGTATAATTTATAATAAATATAAATATAATAATAATAATAACAGTATTAAAATAATTATACACATTTCCTCCCACCACGTTGAAAAAAAAATGGAAATAAAAAGTCTTAGCCCTTAATTACTCACGTCTGGTCTATATGAACAGATCAATTTTTGTATACTTAATTTAAATAACTTTTAATTTTTTTTAAGTCTATGAATTGTTATGAAATTGGTTTTTAATAAGTAATAATTTGTATTTATAATTCATTTAATAACAAATAATTAAAAGCAAAATTAATTATTGATAACAATTTTATAATAAATAAACATTTTTAAAAATGTATATATTTTTAACAATTTTTTCATTGATTGTACATATAAATTTTACTTGGAAATTTTTGTTTGTACTATTGTTATGTGATATTAGGTAATTAGTTAAATAAAGAAATTGTAATTGTCCTTAAGTTGAATTAAAACAGGAATTCTATTGATATTTTGTTTTTTAGCACAATTAAAATTAAAATATATAGATATTATTTTGAGCTTAACAACTTTCATAGTTCCGACTTTTTTATGTTTACTATAGAATAAATGTTGAGCTAAATATATTTAAATTTTAAAATATATCAATTACGTAGTATTATGTTAAATATTATATATTTTAACTTACCCTCGATTTTTCCCATGGCCAACACTGTGATAGTCTTGGCTGCGGGAACTGTCCACGCGGCTAAATGAAAGTAATGAGAATTTGCCTCGATAGCTTCGTGTCCCCATTTGAGACCGGCCGCCAAATACCATGTCAACGTCAACACGACCCACCATACACTTGAAGCCGTTCCGAAAAAATAAGACACCATAAAAAGTACCACACAAAGTTCGGACGATCCGTTGGAACTGCCGTCAATGTCGGCCGTTGCCGGAGGGCTGTTTGTTCCTTGGACAATCAGGTTGCGTTTGTTGCATGCTATAGAATCGCCGGCCATCCATCCTACCAAATACGATATGGACACCATGAGGTAACACAGAGACAAAAAGATTATGGGCCGCTCGGGATAACGGAAGCGACGAGTGTCTATGGCGAACGTGAGCGACGTAAAGAGACATGAAACGCAGCACAATACGGACAAGCCGGCCACCCAATTTCTCGACGTTTGGGTCTGTTCGCGTGACCAAAACGCGTCGCACGGCGCACTACAATCCTTTACTTGCCTGTTGCCAATTCGTATGGAGTAGCCAGAGTACAAGGAACTCAATGTTCTTTCCGACGGAATAGACGATGTAGATCCCCCCTTCTTCTTAGTGCCGGTAAAACTAAACCCTTGACTGGTCGGTTCCATTCGAAATTGCTGAGGGCAAACGAATCCAAAATGGTCGTAAAATGGTCCGGAAATCGAATTTTGAGATCCTCCCACTCCGCTGTAATGTCTGGTTGCTGAATTGGACCCAGTGTTGGCAATCGAATCTTTTCCACCGCCGTCTACTAGTATGGAGTGGATACCCGACTGGCCTCCGTTATTGTTCACTGTCCCTTGGGCCGTGGCGGACTCTGTGTAGTTATTTTCACCGACACACAACTGATCAGGGCTTTCGGGAAATTTGCTACATTCCAAGTTGTCGGGCCATTCGATTTGAAATCCGTTCATGATGGCTTCACATCCGTTGCGTGCCGACACGCACAGCGACCGGCACGGCGGTATTGGACGCTCAATGATGGTACACACCGGAGCGAAAACGCTACAGAGGAAAAACTGCAGGTCGTGCGAACAACGGATTTTGACTAGTGGATAATATTGTTGCACCTCGAAACCGGCTTCGTCCTGGCGCTGTTGACCCAGTAAATTGGGCATGACCGTCTGGTTGTACGCGATACCCATGCAAAACGGTATGGTGATTGGCTCACACCTGCCGTGCCCAGAACTGGGATTGCCGGTGTCGTCGACCACTATGCTGCTGCTGCTGCCGCCGGCCGATGACATTGACTGCGTATCGTGTTGTTGTCTCGACGATGAGTGGCACCGTGCCGAACATATCGCGATCGAAACCAGCAGCGATAACAGTAACGGGTGCGAACCCGACCGAGCCGGTACCCTATGCCGGTGTTTCATTTTCTACGGACGCCGGCCGTTGTGCGTAGGTTGTGCCGCAGCTGTCTACCGGGATTTAGCCGATTAGGCAGACGGCTCGACGAATCGAGCGGTCTCCACAACGTCGCCGCCGCCAGTCATGTTTGCTGAGAAACCAGGTTGCCTGGTACGGTATTCGCGCGCGTTTGGACGTCGGACGGATTGCGGGTAGGCGTTCGGTGTACGGGCGTTGCTAACGTGCGCGACCAAGACGTTGTTTTACGGATGGAGACGATGACGGCTAGACTTGAAGAAGAAAAACTACAAAAACAAGAAAACCGAAACGGGCTAGCAAGCGACTACGGACGACTACGGCCTATTGTAATGATTTATTGTAATGTTATTATCGACGACTGTACAGAGTACCGTGCAGTCTAGCTCGGTTGTATAATAATTGTGTGTCGATAAAGGTTGGGCGGTGGGGGCGGAGGCGGCGGCGGCGGCGTACAAAATACTCTATTGTATACAATAGAAGTCGTTATCACACGTTAATAATAAAGATAATAAACAACGGGGCACGCCGCCGCGGCAGCTGCACGGCGGCGGCTCTGCTGTTGTCGGTCCGGTCCGCTGGAATGCATTGTTGCCGGTGCATCGGCGGGAGGTGGTGCGGCGTGGAGGCACTCTGCCGGGTCGCGGCCATCTTTGTGGAGGTGTCGTTTGGCGCGAAATACTGTTTGAATTCAGTCGTTCGTTTTGTCTTCTAAATTTTCCAAAAAAAAAAAAAAAAATACTAGCAGTATCTCTCTGATACAAATACATAGAAATTTAACCTTATCTTCGTCTTTCCGCGTATTGACTTGAGCTGCTTTCTCATATTAATAATAATTATACATATTTAACGCCCCGAAGGCAAGAGTGTAACACACGAATAAATTACAGTTTGATGCTTCATGCTGTAGTCTGTAAAGTGTAATAAAAAAAAAACCCCTATTAATCTACAGTATGATTAAATAGCAAGTATTTTTAATGAAAATGCATACTGGGTACGTTTAAGTTTCAACATGTTATTGCGGTTTATAGATGAAGTTAAATAGTCGGCTGCTTAATAAATTTAAATATTTAAATTATGAACACAATGTTCATAAATCAAATTATCACAAAATTAAAGAAAAATACTAATTTAAGTATCGCTTAAGAAATATGAGAAATTAAATGTATTTTGAAAATATTATTTACTTACCCTATTTCAACAGTTTCACATAATAAAAACCGTATTATGTCGTTGCAATCATAAACGTTTGCATTAAAAAAAACCATACTGCATGAACAATTTTTTCACTGTACTATTATACTTGTATTTTTATATAGTAGTACTGACTATTACTTTATTTTAAATCAAAATACAATATTACAGATTAATTGCTTCAGTATGCAAGAGAAGTTACATTTTTGGTTGTTAACAGATGAATAATTACTATTAATACGATAACTAAGTAAAACAATTTAACTTCTTTAATGTTTAAAGTTCCTATCTGGGAATTATGCTTGAAAACATTCAACAAGTATACAGTTCTTAATAAAACCGTAGAACAGATTATTCTGGCAAGAAGTTGGGAGTAATTTTAAAGTTATAAAATTAAAATTCTAGGAAAATTATAGAAGTGTTCAAGACAAAAAAGAGTTTTTGTGTATTTTCCAAAATTAATTAGATTCATAGAAAAAACTATTTAAATTAAAACAACATATCTTAAAACTTATACTAATTAACATGGTGGAAATTTTATTAGAACCCACTTTTATCCTTTAACTGCCTATAAGTGGCTTTATTATAATTTCTTTTATAAAAAGTCGAATTGGTAGAAATTTGTGTAAAATATTATTTAGACAAAGTACGATCAATGTACGTTGACTAACCGAAAAATATCATTTGTATGAACAAGTGTTGTTGACGAAAATTTAAAAAAAAATTAATTAAATATTTGAATTGTTTTTTAATCTTAATACAATGAAACACTTTAGCGACCGTATAACGTCTTGCGAGTATAATAGGTTAGTACTAGTTAAACTATATCACACAAAAGATATTACTTAGTATATTAATATATAAAATAATTATGAATGCCAACAATTGTGCATTTTTGTTTTGTTATTTTGCTATAACATCGAATATAAAAACAATCGTATCAGCAGGTAAACACCAGGTAAGCTTATATTTGTTCTTTGAAATAGTTTTAATCTTATATTTTAAGCTAGATAGCGGTCCTACAAATATTTACAAAATGATGTCTTACGTATGATATATATGATTTGTATGTTATATAAAAAAGAAAAAAGGTCTACAAAACGTATAATATATTATAAGTTATAACTATTATAATTTAATATAATATATATATATATATATATATATATATATAATATAAATTAATATAATATATAAATAATTGAAAAATAAGTGTTTTTTCTGTTAAGATACACATACCTACATGGTACAATTTAGAAATGTTATTTGCATAAATTAAATATTTCTATTAATTTGTAATCACAATTATACTTTTTCAGACAATATAATAAAGATAAATTATGTCAAGCAGCTGTATAAATAATCGTTGGATAAATAATAGACTGTTTCGAGACATTTTTGTTCTTAATACTGTAAAAACTATTGTGCAATCCAACTTTGTTTATCTGAAGTTACTTTTTTATAATAATATATAAATGTGTTTTTTTTAGATTACTCCTTTGCGATTATCCACTCAATTATCTAGTCTAAACTATGTACTTACCATAGATAACTTGAAAACATTCAACAAACAGTCAATTAGTATTAAAGAAACTGACGTGATAAACCTGTCAACCCGTTCTTTGGGAACTTTTTCGAATTACCAATTAAAATTAAAAAGCCGGGTTAAATTAGAGACAAAAGCTGAAGACATCAGATGTAGTTTTTGCGTAATTGCAAAATCAAAATTATTATACTTGAGGGACTTATTTGTAATGCTAAAAAACGGAGAGCCTTTCATTGATAACGAGGAAACTGTGACACGTCTTAAAGAGGAAGCCGGACTTATAATACATTTATTAATGTGGGGAAATTTAGTAACGGGCAAATGGCTTTGGAGTTATTATTTAAAAATTATTGCAATCAGCCAATACGAAGCTAACAAACGTTTCATTCAGAAAAACCCATTCGAAGACGAACAACTGCAAACCGGCGTTTCAGATTTCATAGAAAAATGTATAGCTAAAGAATACCTTCCTAAGAGTACAATAAAATCTGATTTGGTTTCGAAAAAGCCGAAAGTGTACGAAAATATATTTAATTTTTTGCTCCATTCCAAAATATTTGCAGATATTTTAAATAGCCGTGTCGCTTTGGCACCGACAGAATTCCTATATCTAAAACCGTTCTGGGACGACGGAAGTCAATTTTTGTTCGGTCAAACACCCGGAGTCAATGTCGATTGGAGTAATGTGAAACAACGACATGAAGTCGAGGTTGCTAGTACCAAAAAATTTGTAGAAAACCGCATTTGGATTTACAAACCGTACGGTCGCCTCGATCACCAACATTTATTGATCAAAATTATCGATGCCAGATGTTATTGTTTCTTTTCGGCTGTACTGTATATTTATGAAAACAATTTTAACACACTGGACGAACAGACGATGACCAACACTGTAACTAACGTTCTCCAAGACGCATTGAATTTAATGGCGTATAAAGATGATTTTCTTGTGAATATTATATCAGAATTTAAATTTGGAATAATAAGCGACATCAATGGCATTAAAGATATTTTCACAAGAGTGCGGACAAAGGCCAATGAGATCCTAAAAGATTTGAATGGTGTTAGCACAAACCAAATCGATTTGCTTAGTTTTAACATTAACGAAGGCCAACTGTCTGCCACCGAACTGATAGTAAGAATCATTAATGATTTTAATGTTTTTTTAAACGAGTTAAAAAGTTTATGCCTGCCGTTCGATTATAAAGTGTTTTTGCAATTCATAGATGTAGTGCAATCGTCGGTTGCTCAATAAAATTTAAATTTTGAATTATGAGCACACTGATTATTAATCAAATTATAACAAAATTAAAGAAAAATACTAATTTAAGTATTGCTTAAAAAATACGAGAAATTAAATGTATTTTGAAAATTTTATTTACTTATCATATTTCAACAGACTCGCATAATAAAACCCTTATAAAACCGTGTAATGTTATTGCAAGCATAAACGTTTGCATTAAAAAAAAAACCATACTGCATGAATAATTTTTTCACTGTATTTTTATATAGTAATAGTAACTGTTTTTTTTGTAAATAAAAATACAAAATTGGAGTTTAACTTCTCAGCATGCATGTGAAGTTACTTTTTTTGTTTTTAACAATTGAATAATTACTATTAATATTATAATATTTTCATTAAATTATTGCTGTTTTCCTTTTTTAGAATACCGATTTATCAAAATACAAATTATCCACATTGATTTTTGTGGAAAACTTCGTCTTGCATTATTTTATATCTTCCATATCATCATTTTTAGAGTCATTTTTCTATAATTTTATAAATATATATTGACATGAATATGTTTGATGGGGGGGGGGGGTATAGTAGTACATATTATAATAGTACATATTCAGACAATATACTCTATGTTAACAAATGTATAATATTGTAATTATGCTTTGTTTTAAATCAAGACACTAAATTAGGGTTTAACTGCTTCAGTATACTAGTGAAGCTACTTTTTTTCTGTTAACAGCTGAATAACTATTATTAATAGATAATAAAACAAAATATATTTATTATTTAATGTTAATTTGTTTGTTAAACTATGCTTAAAAACATTCAACTATTATAAAAACTGTTGAACAGAATGTTCTGACAGAAAGTTGTGGACATTTTAAAGTTAAAAAGTTATAAATTAAAATCCTAAGGAAAATATAGAAAAGTGTTCGAGACAAAAAAATAGTTTTTGTGTAGGTAATTGCCAAAATTGAGTTATATGTATCAAATAACATGGTCGAAATTTTATTAGAACCACTTTTATCCTATAACTGCATATACAAAACTCTTATAAAACAGACCGTTTGTCAGTCCTTAATTCAAAATATTTTATAGTGAATGGTCGTAGGTATTTTCGACATTGAACAACCCGAACATGAAGAGGAACTTTATGGGCTACTTTATTTAAAATAATTAATGATAAAAATACTAGCTATAGTGATTACGGAATCGTATGTTTTTCCTATCTTTATATTTCGACATGCTTTGACGTCATTTGAACGTCGTTTGATTGAAATCTAGACAAAAGACAACAGAAAGTATAATTATTTTTCAAAATTTCCACTATACCCCCACTCTATTTTACTGGCTTTTTTACTATTTACTAACAAAGGTTTTATCAATCGATACTAAAGCACTTTTTTTTAAAATAGGTAATTTTATAATTATCATTTTAAAATAGTCCAATCAGACATAGTATTTTTAATAAACTACAAAACAGTTACTGTGAAGTAGCTTTCTTATATATTTTTAAATAATAATTTGGTAGAAATTTATGTAAAATAATATTTAGACAAAGTACGATCAATATTCGTTGACTAACCGAAAAATATCATTTATGTGAACAAGTGTTGTAAAAGAAAATTTAAAAATGAAATTCTTTAAATTTGTTTTTTACAATTTAGCGACCGTACAACGTCTTCCGAGTGAAATAGAAGTTGTCGAAGACAACCAACTGCAATCTGGCGTTTCAGAATTTATCGCAAAATGTATTGATGAGAATGCATTAGAATCTGATTTGGTTTCAAAAAAGCCTAAAGTGTACAAAAATATGTTTACCTTTTTACACAGTTCCATAGTAATTAGAGATATTTTAAATAGCCGTGTCAATTTGGCACCGACCGAGTTTTTACATCTAAAACCATTCTGGGGCGACCAAAGTCAATTTTTGTTCAGACAAATACCAGAAGTCAATGTCGATTGGAGTAATGCGAAACAACGACATGATGGCGAGGTTGCTATAACTAAAGAATTTGTGAAAAATCACACTTGGATTAACAATCCACACGGGCGACTCGAACACCAACTTTTGGTAATCAAAATTATCGATGCCAGATTTTATTGTTACTTTTCGGTTTTACTGCATGTTTACGAAAAACAATTTTCCATACTTGGCAGACTACAGAAATCTTATAAATACCGTTATCGTAAACGCATTGGATTTAATGGCGTATAAAGATGACTTTCTGGTGTATATTATATCAGAATTTAAGTTTGGAATAATAAGCGACGTTAACGACATAAAATATATTTTAGCAAAATCAAGGACAAAGGCCAACGAGATCCTAAAAGATTTGAATGGTGTTAGCACAAACGAAATTGATTGTCATAGTTTCGATATTAACGAAGACCAACTGTCTGCCAATGATTTGTTAAGAATCATTGATGATTTTAAACTATTTTTAAACGAGTTAAAAAGCTTCTGTCGGCCGTTCGAATATAAAATGTTTTTGTATTTCATAGATGTAGTTCAATCGTCAAATACTAAAATAATTAAATTAATTAAAAACACATTATCAAACTATAAGGAAATAAAAGAAAATATATTAAAAAAAATTGCAGTTTTTAGTTTCAAGCGTCATCGAAAAAATTTGGAATATTATATTAATTTCTAATGTGTTATGATATTTAAGCAATGTAAAATATTAACTATGAGCTACCGTATAATGTTAAAGAAAGCATTATAGGTTTGTATTAATTATGTCATGCATTAAATACATTATTTCAATATAGTTATAGTATACTTAAAAGAATATAAATTAAACAGCAAATAAAATAACATGGTTATAATTTATTAAAACATGTTTTTTCTTAAATATTGTCTATACAAAACTCCTTGAAAACCGAACTCATGCATTCCCCTCAATTAAAAATGTATTAGAGTGATTGGTTATAGGTGATATCGCCTATCAGATAATTCAAACATAAATAGGAGTTTTATGGGATATTTTCATTTAAATATTAAATGTTAAAAATACTAGCTGTTGTGTATACGGGGTTTGTATGGTGCTTTATATTTTTGTGATGTTTGTACAAATTGGGTTATGTCCACAAAACAATGTTCTAGATCAGGTAAAATCGGTTTTGTACTGCTGAAAAACGTTTTTTTCATGATTTCGCGACATTTCAATGATTGTTTGCTTTATGTTCGTTCAGGACATGCTTATTAATTTCTAACTCTATTCTAGAAGCCTAAGGCCATGGTTCAATTAAGTAAATGTCCGAAATTTGACATAGTTCTAATAAAAAATTTATTTGTAGCTACAAGTCATATTCAAACACACTGAACCCATTTTCAACTATAAAAACACAGATGAGAAGTACATTTTTAAATGAATACCATAAAAAAAAATCTTTACCATCTTAAATCGAGAATAACAACCAAAAATAAACACAATTGTTCAAATTAAAATTTTTGTTTTATTACATTTTTTTTTATTAGAAGTCGAAGTGACAGAAATTTGTATTAAATACTATTTAGACAAAGTATAGGCAATATACATTGTCAAACCGAAGAATATCATTTGTATAAACAAGTGTTGCCGAAAAAAATTAAAAATAGGAAATTAATTACTTATGTTTTTTTACAATTCAACAAAACAAAACACTTTAGCGACCGTATAATGTCTTGCGATTACTATAGGATAGTACTAGTTAAACTATATCATACGAAAGACTTATATTTTGCTTAGTATAATTAATTTAAAATAAAACTATGATTGCCAACAATTGCGCATTTTTGTTATGTTATTTTGCTATAACATTAAAAATAAAATCAATGGAATCAGCAGGTAACCAGGTAAGCATTTATTTTTAACTATCTATATTTTTTACTAGTTACTCATGCCTATCGTAAGAGGCGAATAAAACGGGGTTGCTTCAGGTGGACAGCCGGTGTAAAACAAGTTGAAGTGTATGAGGAGTTCAAAACTGAACATAGGTGGTGTGTCACATCTTGGATGTGCGGGGGGCAAAGGGTGAGAAGTAGCCATATAGTTAGTGGGGAGGATAGCCAGAGGAAGCACGCGGCGAGCATTAGACTTAGGTGGTGAAAGTTAACAGGTGATAAAGAAAAGTTGTCTGTAAAGCATGGAGGGTAATGTAAATTTAATTTGGAATAGTGTGGTAAATGGTATAAAGAAGGTGGCGGTGGATGTTGTAGGTGAGAGTATAAGTAGTATGACACTGGAAAAGGAAACGAGGTGGTGCGATAATAAAATACAGGAAATATTATTAAGGAAAATTACTCAGTATAACAAATAACAAAAAAACTATTATGAGATAAGATTGGTTGGAGTACAAATGAATAAATAAAGAAGCAAAAAAAATAGCTAGGGAAGGAAAATTCAAAAAGTATGATAGTTTGTTTGAGATTTTGGGGGGGGGGGGGAAAGGAGAAAATGAAGTGTATAAATTGGCGAAGATTCGAGAAAAGAGGTCCAGGGATTTTCAGAATGTGTGGTGTATGAAAAATGAAGAAAAAGAGTGTAAGGCGAAGATAAATTAGAAGACCTATATTTTTTCGATTGCTTCGAGACTACATTTTTGGTTTTAATAGTTTAATAACTATTATTATCGGTTTTTAGACAAAAAATCCTACTTGGTTTATTTTTAGAGTTATTTTTTGTAATTATATATAAACAATCAGTCCGGACCCGGCGTTGCCCGAGATTTAGTCTGCCAGGGCTGAGTAAAATAATTTCCACAGGGAGTATACTTTATGGTGTACTAATGCATAAAGGACAAACAAAGAAACAAACAAGAATTCATATTCATATAAATAGGTAACATATTTTTTTAGATTGCTCCTTTGCGATTATACACTCAATCAACTGGCCCAAGCTATGTACAAACCATAAATAGATTGATAACGTACAATAAACATCCAGTTAGCATTAAACACGCAGATGTAATACTTCTGTCAACCCGTTCTTTGGGTACTTTTTTGGATTACCAATTGAAATTAAAAAGCCGTGAAAAACTAGAGGAAAAAGCTGAAGACATCAGATGTAGTTTTTGTGTAATTGCAAAATCAAAATTAGTATACTTGAAGGACTTATTTGTAAAGCTAAAAGACGGAGAGCCTTTCATTGATAACGCGGAAACTGTGACACGTCTTAAAGAAGAAACCGGAATTATAATTTATTTATTAATGTGGGGAAATTTAGAGACAGGCAAATGGCTTTGGAGTTATTATTTAAAAATTATTGCAATCAGCCAATACGAAGATAACAAACGATTCATCCAAGAAAACCCATTCGAAGACGAACAACTGCAAACCGGCGTTTTAGATTTCATTGAAAATTGTATAGCTAAAGAGTACCTACCTGAGACTGCAATAGAATCTGATTTGGTTTCAAAAAAGCCAAAGGTGTACAAAAATATTTTTTCTTTTTTACGCCGTACCGAAATATTTGCAGATAATTTAAACAGCAGTATCACTTTGGCACCGACTGAATTTTTATATCTAAAACCATTCTGGGAAGACGCAAATCAAATATTGTTCAAACAATTAGCCGGAGTCAATGTCGATTGGAGTAATGTGAAACAACGACATGAAGTCGAGGTTGCTATTACCAAAGAATTTGTAGAAAATCGTACTTGGATTTACAAACCATACGAACGACTCGACCACCAACTTCTAATAATCAAAATTATCGATGCCAGATTTTATTGTTTCTTTTCAGTTGTACTGTACATATATGAAAAACAATTTAATATACTGGACGAACAGACGATGACAGACACCAGAAAACTTATAAATAACGTTCTCCAAGACACATTGAATTTAATGGAGTATAAAGATGATTTTCTTTTGAATATTATATCAGAATTTAAGTTTGGAATAATAAGCGACGTTAACGACATAAAAGACATTTTAGCTAGAGTTAGGACAAAGGCCAACGAGATCCTTAACGATTTAAATGGTGTTAGCGCAAACGAAATTGATTGGTTTAGTTTCAACGTTAACGAAGACCAACTGTCTACCACCGAATGGATAGTAAGAATCATTAATGGTTTTAATGATTATTTAAATGAATTAACAGTCTTCTGCTTGCCGTTCAAATATAAAGTGTTTTTGCATTTCATAGATCTCGTTAAATAGTCGGCTACTCATTATTTTTAAATTGTTAACACAATGTTTATTTAAATTTAATTTAATTAAATAACTTTTATTTTGATTTTTACGGATGCAGATTTATAAAAATACAAATTATCCAGAAAGATTTCTGTGGAAAATTTAATCTCATCATCTAATTATATAAATATATTGGCATGAAAATATTGGCTGGGGGCATATTATAATAGTACTGTAATTAAGCTTTATTTTAAATAAAAATACAAAGTATTTCATTGTTTCAGTATGCTGGTAAAGTTAACTTTTTTTTGTTGAATAATTATTATTAATATACCTTTAATAGAGCCATTAAAAAAAAACCATATTAATCTACAGTATGATTAAGTAGTAGGTAATTTAATGCAAATGCATACTGGGTACGTTTAAGCTTCAAAAGTCAATAAGCTTAAGGAAATACTAAAACAGATAAAAATCCACCGTCATCGATAGTGTACAACTTACCGATACGAAATAACACAAATTGGCAATAAACTATCGAAGTTAACACTAGTTATAAGCAAAATGCGCGGATTATTATTTTGACATATTTTTCAACGCCTAGTTCAATCAATAAATTACCCAGTTACTAGTTAGTTGCCTGACAAATACATTAAAGAGAAAATACCATAGCAACAATAAAAATGTGTATTGATACCTGTTTCCGCAGAAATAATTAATTTTTATCATACGAGTTTGTTATCTTTGTTATCAAATGAGTTTATTAAAAAAATTCATGCAGTGAAGGTTTAAAAAAAATATGTAAAATAAAATATAATACATGATTTATCAATAATTTGTGTGCCTGGCCATTAAAATATAAACATGGGAAAAAATTGTTAAATATTATATTTGTCTAATTTAATTAAATTTAATAAATAATTAAAGTTTAGTCAATGTAAATGTATGTGTAATCAACAGTACATAGGGATATGTATAGCGTCAACAATCTTTATTAGTTTTTATAAAACATATTGTAGCTAAGGTCTTTTGTATGTATAAAGCAAAAGGTTGCAGAACTGCTGAAGAAAAAAATGTTCTACCTTGGGTAAAAATATATCTTCATTAAGTGTTTTGGAAGTTATGTTAGGTTAGATTAGGTTGCACCGTCAAAGGTCTAAAGTCCTCGGTATGGGTCAGATTCGATAGTGAAATAACTATAGTCGCAACTCTGTATGTTCGTAAATATTTTTGAAAAATTCAGCCTTCACTGATAAAATACTATTTATAATATAGGTATACCTATAGTAAAAAAGGAATTATTCATATTTTTAATCTTACCTACTTTACCTCATGTTTTCCATAGTACTATAACGGCTATAAGTAAAGTTGATAACACAAAATCCTCTATATATATATATACATATATATTTTATTTTATACCACGAACTAAGATAGTATCTTAGTTAACGTGAAGTAAACATCAATGAGTAGATGTTTTATACACACATGAAAATCCCATAGATATGGCCGACGTTGACTTCAGTTCTTTTCACTAGTTATTAACCTATATATATATATATATCTGTGATCGTAATTTTTGTGTATAGCACCGCTTATTTGTATATTCTAAAATCAACGGTATTTCTTTCTATAATAAAAATTCCAAGTTTACAACAAATCATTAAACGTTGACCTTTTTATCGAAATAAAAAAAAAACAAAATGAAATAACCTGCAAGATTATTTATGTATATTTTTTTTAATACAATATTGTTGATCGAATTCTTTGGCCGTATCGAAAACCCAAATTGTTTTTCTCGCGTCAACTCGAAAACACGATTTTTTTTCCTTAAGAAAAACGCCTGTTTGTGCGTTTTGATATAAGTTTCAAATTCCACTGTTTACATAAATGAAAAGTATGCAACATAACCGTTTATATAAAAAATGTGTGCATGTTTAAAAGACTGTAAACACTATACCCATATTAAACATGCTTTATAATAATGTGAACTTAAAGTCGAAAAACACAAGGTCTTCAAAATTTCATGGGCTACCTGACTTGTTGAAGATTTTCTAAAATTATGAAATACGTCATTGTAATTTTTTCTTCCTTCTGCAAGATAATTTGGGGAGGGGTTTTTGAAATCTCTCATCTAGCTACAATTAATTATTTGAGATATGCATGCTTAGCTATTTATTAGTTTGATAAAATATAATTTGAATGAGCTTTGAAATTTTTAACATCAATCAAAAGAACCTTTAAAAAGCTCTTGCCGGCCGTTCGAATATCAAGTGTTTTTGCATTTCATAGATGTTTTTTTTAAAGTTTCCTTGACAAAGTCATCTTAACTTATTGTTAATATAATTTACATTTTTAGCGTTTGGAAATAGATAACATAATTATAACAATATATATATACTGATACATGACGATTAGTTACGACGTTTAACAGATACCGTGTGGTTAACATTAGAGAATGGTATAAAACATTTACGTTTTGATATTTAAATTACAAAATATGATTGAATTATAATAATAGGTCGTGCGGACGACCGCGCTTGAGACGGCGTATATTGGGTGGGTCTCTTAGCCTGTGGAATTTCGCACTGCTAGCAGAGTTGATGTGGTTGAAAAAGTTGAAAGTTAATTTTTTAATGTATTCAGTTATTATGGGTATCTGAAAATCTTGATGGAGTGAAAATTCTTTACCATCTTAAATCGAGAATAACAACCAAAAATGCACACAATTTTTCAACTTAAAATTTTGGTTTTATTATAATTTTTTATTAGAAGTCGAATTGACAGAAATTTTTATTAAATATTATTTAGACAAAGAATAAGCAATATACGCTGGCAAACCGAAGAATATCATTAGAATGAACAAGTGTTGTCGAAGAAAATTTAAAAATAAAATTATTTACTAATGCTTTTTCCAATTTAACACAATGAAAAACTTTAGTAACCGTATAATGTCTTGCGAGTAAAATAAGTATTATTAGTAGTTATAAGATACCATACGGAAGACTCGAGTTTTACTTTAGTTTATTAAAAATATAAAAAAATAACAATGATTGCAAAGATTTGTGCATTTTTTTTATGTTACTTTGCAATAACGTCAAATATAAAAACAATCGAATCAGCGGGTAATCAGGTAAGAATTTATTTTAAACTACCTATATTTATTTTATACCCCTATAGGGGGTGTTCAGAATACACCTATTTCACCTCATACCTGTTGTAGGAGGCCATTAAAATCAGGTTGCGTCAGGTTTACTAGTTAATACTAGTATAAGAGTTTTTTTTTTACTACCCAAACAAATAATTTTTTAATCGAACACATTTGGCACTAACGCACAATGTATCATGAGTGATACATTATAATAAACATTGTTTTATAGCTAATTAACTTTGTTTGAAAAAAAAAAATATTTTTCCTGTCATTTTTTAGAGTACCTAAATCGAAAAACAAATTTTTCCTTACATATTTTATCATGAAAATTAAATCGTGCATTGTAGGGTTAAATAGCTATTATTAACAGTTTTTAGAAAAAAAAACCCAAATTTATTGAGTTACTTTTTACAACTCGGTATACATTTTTTATAGATTGCTCCTTTAAGATTATACACTCAATCAACTAGTCAAAGCTATGTACAAACCATAAATAGTTTGATAACATACAACAATCATCCAGCTAGTATTACACACGACGACCGGAAACTTCTAACAACGCGTTCATTGGAAACTTTTTTGGATTACCAATTCAAATTAAAAAGCCATGATAAATTGGAGACAAAAGCTAAAGACATCAAATGTAGTTTTTCTTTAATGGCAAAATCAAAATTATTATACTTGAAGGACTTATTTGTAAAGCTAAAAAACGGAGAGCCTTTCATTAATGACGAGGAAACTGTAACACGCCTTAAAGAAGAAGCCGGACTTATAATACATTTATTAGTGTGTGGAAATTTAGTAACGGGCAAATGGCTTTGGAGTTATTATTTAAAAATTATTGCAATCAGCCAATACGAAGATAACAAACGTTTCATCCGGGAAAACCCATTCGAAGACAACCAATTGCAATCTAGCGTTTCAAATTTCATCAAAAAATGTATAACTGACGATTACCTACCTAAGAATGCAATAGAATCAGATTTGGTTTCGAAAAAGCCAAAAGTATATGAAAAAATGATTCGCAATTTACGCGAATTCAGTTGGGGTAAAGATGTTTTAAGTGGCCAATTTTTGTTTACGGCCGACTATTTGAATCTTAAACCGTTTTGGGACGACGCAAATCAAATACTGTTCAGACAAATAGTCGGAGTCAATGTCGTGTGGAGTAATGTGAAACAACGACATGATGGCGCGGTTGCTATTACTAAAGAATTTGTGAAAAATCGCACTTGGATTAACAAACCGTACGGACGACTCGACCACCATCATTTGGTAATCAAAATTATCGATGCCAGATTTTATTGTTTCTTTTCGGTTGTGCTGCATATTTATGAAAAACAATTTTCCATGCTCGACGAACAGACGATGATAGACACCAGAAATCGTATAAATAATGTTAACAAAGACGCATTGAATTTAATGGCGTATAAAGATGATTTTCTGGTGAATATTATATCAGAATTTAAGTTTGGAATAATAAGCGACATCAACGACGTACAAAACATTTTAGCAAGAGTGAAGACAAAGGCTAACGAGATCCTTAACGATTTGAATGGTGTTAACACAAACGAAATCGATTGGCTTAGATTCAACATTAACGAAGGCCAACTGTCTAACACCGATTTTATAATTAGAATCATTGATGATTTTCAAGGTTATTTAAACGAGTTAAAAAGCTTATGCCGGCCGTTCGACTATAAAGTGTTTTTGCATTTCATAGATGTAGTTCAAACGTCGGCTGCTCAATAAATTTTAATTTTTAAATTATGAACATACTGATTATAAATTAAATTATAACAAAATTAAAGACAAATACTAATTTAAGTATCGCTTAAGAAATATGAGAAATTAAATGTATTTTGAAAATGTTATTTGCTTATCCTATTTCAACAGTTTCACATAATAAAAACCTTATGAAACCGTATAATTGCACTGCAAGCATAAACGTTTACATAAAAAAATCATATTGCATGAATATTTTTTTCACTGTGTTATTACACTTGTATTTTCATATAGCAATAATCACTATTACTTTATTTCAAATCAAAATACAGTATTAGAGTTTAATTGCTTCAGTATGCAAGTGAAGTTACTTTTTTGGTTATAAACAGTTGAATAATTAGATACTATTAATATGATTACTAAATAAAAAAAATTAACTTGTTCAATGTTTATAGTTGATATTTTAGAATTATGATTTAAATAAAATATCTTAAAACTTATACTAATTAACATGGTCAAAATTTTATGATATCCGCTTTTATCCTATAACTGCCCGTACAAAACTGTTTAAAAAAAGGCCGCTTGCCAGTTCCTTAATTCAAAATATTTTATGGTGACTTATCATATTTTAATCCAGACGATAAAAAAGAAAGTGTATTTGGTTTGCTAAATGTCAACTATGTCGTCCCGAATCCATATCCCATTGTACTGGCTTTTTAAGTTATAACAGAAATTTCATCAATCGATAGTATAGCACTATTTTTTATAATAATCATTATTAAATAGTCCGACCAGATATTACATTTTCATAAATGTCGGCGTACCAACAAAAAAGTTATTGCAAAGTGGCTTTATTATAATTTTGGAACGAAATTCCTTAACCCGGGTTGTCACTTGTCGAGAGGACCTAGCCGAGAAAAAATGTTACGCGTTATGAAAACTATATGTGGTGCGGTCGAGCGTGATCGGTTCCCAGGAGTGAG